AAACCTAGGCCCTTACCTGGGTTACTGAAGACAAGGAATATGTATGTATGTATGTATGCATGCATGCATGTATGTACACACACACACAAAAAAAAATATACATGCTAAAGCTTATCCTTATACCCAGAGATACGTGTAGCCCTCATCAGCCTCTCCTTACAGAGCAAGAGGCTTGGCTCAGAGGGAGCTGACCTTTGCCTCAGCACTCAGCATTCCTGAATTTTGCCTTTTGCAATGAACTTTTTTTTTGAATTCCTAAACAATTCATTTTAAAAACTACAATTTCTTGTCTGTCTCCTGTATCATGAACTGCTTTTCATATCAATAGCACTGGAGGGGGTAAATTACAGATTGCCATCTTTAGTTATGGGTCATTGGTAACTTGGGATTCATTTGGAAAGATCCAGAAACTGAAGTCCATCTGAAAGACAAGAAATATAACTGAAAAGCTGGTAGTAATCCACACAGAAGGGAGATATTCTTGGAGATGGAGTCCATACTAATATGGATGAATTTGGGGGTGGAAGGTGTGAGAACATTATGAGTTTGCATTCCATTAACCTGGAAGTGAACAGCCTGGATTTGAGGAGACAGCTGTTCATCAGGACTTAGCTTTTCTGAAACCATGCTATCTCCAGATGTCAACTCCTATTAGCTCACATGACTACCGATTTCCAAAACGATGCCTGGACCCAGGTCTCAGGACTGTCAGCTTGATTTCATTTAGTGTCATTTAGACATACCCTGGTTGGCCTTTACAAGCCCTTGTCTACTGTGTGCTTAGGTCTAAATAAAGGTTCTTATAGCACTTCACATTTTGAAGGGGTTTGTAACACTTACATTTGCATTTCCCCCCCAAAATATCAGGAACACACACACAGGAAAGCTCTGCTTTCCAGAAAGCAAATAGACTGCATGTGGAAATGTGGAACACTTTTCTAGGCCAGCAAATGTTACTATGCAGTGCAGTCTTTCTGCTCTCTGGGGCTCATTCTCTCTATCAGTTTCCCTACGATGCCTCTGCACTTGCTCCTGCATGTTCCTTCTCAGTGCACTTAAGTCACTAGTTATCCCAGCATAACACAAAATTTAAAATATAATGCTATTGAGCCTTATCTCATTATATGTATCACCAGTAGCACCGGGATACACACTCACTTCCAGCTATGTCTACAGACTACTTATTATATGCCATGAACTTGGCTAGAAACTTTACTGTTCTCTCATATTTTGGGTCTCCAATACCTTCTTTGTATTTGGTCCAGAGATTACACAGGAACATCCCTTAAGAAATGATTATCACTTCAAGAGAAAACAGAAAAGAATAAAGCCACATTCAAGAAAAACAAATGCAGTATTTTCACATGCAGAATGTAGAACATACACATACATGAAAGTACTAAATGTATTATATTTGAGAATGAAGGGGAACGAATGAGAAGATGGGAAAGCAAGGAGGTAATGGAAGAAATGACAAATGTCACATTTTCTCATATGCAGAATCTAGCTTTTATATACATATATATTATACACAACATTAAAGCAAAGGGGGGCTATTTGAGGAGCAAGGAGATCAGTGGGGAAAGAGAGGGGACAAAAGAGGGTAATGAATACAGAATGTTTATATATGAAAGGGCTATTAATAAAACCCATTATTTTATGTGCTGGTTTTTAGATAATACAGTTTTAAAAGTATGAAAGCAGTTTCTCCTATAATTTATAAATTACTATGATTAAGTAATTAACATATTACAATGGGCAGTCATGTGGTATATTTTAATACTTAATAAGGAGAATAATGAATGCCTGTATAGACCTTGGTTAATACCACTCATTTTCCTGGTCAGAGTGCTAGATTTTTTCTTTAGGAAAGGAAGTGATTAAATGCTGGATTTTCCTGTAATTTGACAAGGCCATCAAGAAAGATATATTTGGTCTAAAGGTATTTTATGGGCTTAAAACTATAACAATAACTGGCTTCCTGTGCCATTACTAAGCAAAATCAGTCAAAGCAATACTCAATTGTAGATCATCCTTCTGAAAACTGTGGCCACCTCTGGAAACAGTTTGCACAACATGGGAGATAGATATAAAAAAATAAAATCAGCTTCTCTTTAGAGAATGGGTCCAGTCTACAATTTAAAAAAAAAGCAAAACACCCAGCTTTTAAAATAAGGGAAAAAGTAGGAGTGTGCAAATTAAATAAAGCTAAGTTGTTAAAGGTTAGCCAGTTTCTCCTGGTAGTGTTATAAGCAAGTGGCACAGTCATTTTCTGGTCCCACAATATTTAGATGTTTTATTTCAGTCACACAGTGGGAGCTGAGAACAAATGTGGGTAAACCAGACACAAAATACCAAATACCTTCACACGACACAAACCAAACCTCCCTTCTTCCCCTTCAGTGCTGAATCATAAGTTATGTCTGGACCAGAGCTGTGAAGAACACCATGGTAGCTCTGGCATTGTGGCACTCATACATGCGTGCACACACACACACACACACACACACACACACACACACACACACACACACACACACACACACACACACACACACACACTCCAGAAAATCATCAATATCCTGGAAACATCATCAGAATGGCTGTTGTGTGCTTTCTATGACAAAAAAAAAAAAAAAAAAAAAAAACAAAAAACAAAACCTAGAAACCCAAGAGCTTGAAATGTTTCCATGTTATTTCCTTGTTTCTGATTATTACAATCAGAGCACAGTACACCTGGGTTTCCAGCTGCAGATCTGGTTCAAGCTAGAATCAAGATATCTGGTTAGGTCACTTGGTGGGAGCTCAAGTCCTCTAACAGCTCAGGTTGTAATACTCAACTGAAACCCCTGCCTTCTGGAAGGCTGTCAGTGAAGTCTGCCTGAAGTCCCAACCTACTCATAGCAACATAGCTTGTTTCTTCAAGTCAGTACCAGTTTCTCTGTGTTTCTCTCTTTCTCTATCACTGTCTCTGTCTCTCCTCAATCTTTATTTGTGTGTATCAGTATATGTGTGTGTGCATCTTCCTTCCTTTCTTCTCTGTATTCTACATCAGGGTCAATTTTATGTCACAGTGTATCCATGAGGTAGCTTCACTACCATCACCTTATCTCTCAGCAGAGAGGGATTGACACTCTCATTGTGCTTACAGGTCCTACCACACATAAACTCAAGATTCATGATGTATATATGGATGATGGAACCTTTCAAAATTCTGCCTATACATATTACTCAGAACAAGGGTTATACATGACTGGGGAACCAAGAAGTAAAATGCTGAATAGATTCAAGATCCAAGAATGAGTTTTCCTAAGAAGAAGAAAGCAGTCTATTAATAAATCTATAAATGTCTACCAAAATTCATAGAGGAAAACTTCTGGGTCAAGTCTCAATGTACTCTTTAATATTGCCTACTAGGGATGCAAATTACCAAACACATCAGTAACAAAGTGCCAGAGATTAATGGATAACTGTATGAGAGAGGCATATGTCTAATTTTAGCAACCCCTAAATCTAATTTCCCACGAAATCTCCGTATTTTTTTTTCCAACTAAACTCCTTTTTGTCAGGTAGTATGTCCAATAGCTGTCTACAACCCAATATGACCACATGGAATTCTCTATATTACAGAGAGAATAAAACTTAGTATCTAAATTATAATACTAACATTCTCTGGAGTAGACATAAAGTGAACAGATGGTGAAGTTTCACTGCTGGTGTACAAACAAACCCTGTGAAAACACACCACTTCGGATGTGAATGGACCTGCAAATGTAAGGATTCCTTCTCTCCTCTGTGGACACTATACAGCAAAGGGAGAGAAGAGTCACTCCCACAATTACATTGTGTCAGGTGGAGGTTGGAGGAGCAGGATGGGGGTTCTTTGGTGGCTGAAAGGGAGTGAGTGGCAATGTGTGAGCATCAAAAGACAGACCTTGATGCAACATTTAGAACTGAGAGTAACTCCAGACAAACATTCAGCCACAAAATAAGGAGTTTCTATTGTGAAGATCTGAACTCCTCAGGCAATCTGAAAGGCTTCCAGGATTACCCTTTAGCCTCTGAAATCACACTGGTGATTTAGTTTGGCTCTGAGTAGGAGATCCCATTAATCCATAACTGGCAACCTGAACAATGGAAATAGGATGATGACAAAGATGTGTTGTTAAGCTGCTCACTGATAACTTTCCTTGCACTATTGAAAAGTAACATATAATAAATTAAATAAAATAAAGGAGCACAATAAGTTTAGAACCAGTAACTGTCAGGGCCCATAGAAGTGGCTCCAATAAATACTGATTTAATGTCAGAGAGTTCAAACCTATCCTTGCGCTTTCAGAGTTAAAGGCCTAAGACCTAAAGGTCTAAGGTGTGGTTACTGAAGGATGTGTGCTTAAGGTGTGGTCACTAGATGTCTTGCCTAGATAACAGAATATTTGATCTAAGGTGTGCTTACTAGGTGTCTTAATTCTCAAGGCCAGACAACAGGTTTTATCTAAAGTGTGGTTACTAGATGCTTTAAGAGTTAAGGAAGTAATTACATCTGTCTTTTTCCTTGTATCATTTGTAAGAAAGTGTTTTTTTGCACCACCACCTCTTTTTTGGTTGGGGTATATATAAGAACTCCAAGCAATGAACTAGGACAGATCTCAGTATTCACTGGATATCTTCCCCATATTATCTTCTGTCTTTAGCCTGTTTCTTTCCTCAACCCACACTCCCCTTCTCAGGTAGGAACCAAGCTAGTTAGCTGGATCGAACAAGTAACAATTCTCAAAAACTAAAAGGATCATCTCTAAGAGTTGAAAACAAAGCACATGTCTTCATGCACAGATGCCTCAGCACCTAAAATGCCAAACTCAAACAAAAATCTTGTGATTCAAGAAGGCCAAGCCAATGTGGATTTGACCTTGTAATTTGAACAAGGTTAAAGGATAATCTGAATGATTGTCAGGTGTGCTGTGTGTACGCACACATGAGCAGAGGCAAAGAGCACTTACTCTGAAAGTTGTTCACAGAGAAGACACGAGGATGATAGAATCCTGCTTTGCAGATGCACTGATAGGCTCCAAGCACAAATCCTAGGCCTTTGATTGGCATACACTGTGGAGAAGAAAAGGCAGGAATATAATATATCACAGTGTTGCTCACAACAAGAAAACTCACACTTATCTATCATTGCAAATGTTATCAGAACCAGCACATTTTCTATCAATAAAATATTCTAATTTTGAACTGTTTTAGGTTTGTTTGCCAGCAGCCATTTATTGTTGTTGTTTTGTTTTTAAGAAGTAACAAAGTTCCTTGCTGGGTAGTGGTGGTGCACACCTTTAATCCCAACCAAACTCAGGAGGAAGAGACAGATGGATCTCTGTGAGTTTGAGGCCAGCCTGGTCTACAGAGCGACCAGGACAGGCTCCAAAGGTACAGTACAGACAAACCCTGTCTCAAACAACAACAACAAAAAAGTAAAAGTACCCTTTTTAAGCATACACTGTTATAGTCACTGTTGCAGACAACTTTTTACTCATTCAGTTGTTTCACTCAATCATTCTGAAACATGGTTTTTGTTTAAATCTCTCAGAGCATCTTAATGCTTCAAGAACTATTTCAAATCCCATATGAATATTTTATAAGTTGGTCCACACTGGATATTCCTATCAAAGCAAATGTAGGTAGGTGAGTAGATAGAGTCAGAAAAGTTGAGATCCAGAAATCACTTCTCTAACTTATTCATTAGATTTCATCCTTATAGTCAATGTTCTCAAATGTCCAGAGACCTACAAGGATGACCCCAATTAACAATCTGAGCAACAGTGGAAAGGCTACCTTAAATGCCCTCCCCTGATAATGAGATTATCTAACTTATCTGCCATCATAGAGCCCTCATCTAGTAGCTGATGAAAACAGAAGCAGACACTCACAGCTAAACACTGAGCTGAACTCCTGGAATCCAGATGCAGAGAGGGAGGAGTGATAAGAAAATAGGGGCAACACCAGACTACAGAAACCCACAGAGACAGCTGACCTCCAGACTGATAGCTGGGAAACCAGCATTGGACTGACTCAGAGCCCCAGAACATGGGTCTCAGTTAAAAGGCCTAGGCAGTCTGCCAGTGGAACCAGGATGCATCCCTGGTGCATGAAAGGACTTTGGGAGCACATTCCCCATGAAGGGATAGTCCCTTAGCCTAGAGGCAGGAGGAAGGGCCTAGTCTCTACTCCAAATGACTTGACAGATTTTGTTGATCCCTCCTGGAAGGCATCACCCTCCCTGTGAAGTGGGAGGTGGGGGTGGAATGGTGGTTGGGGAGGCATGGGAGAGAGGGAAGGAGAGGGAACTGGGATTGATATGTAAAATAAGAAAAAATAATTAAAAAATAAGTAAAAAAGATTTCATCCTTGGGCCAAATTAACACAAATGGTTGAGGGAAAAGAGTAGGTTTTAAGTTGTAAACATAAAAGAGAATAATCTAGATAAATTAATGATCCCAAAGATTCTGTATCTAAAATCCATTTTATAGATAAATATTCTACATATTCAATAAAAGACCAGTGATGAGCTGTGCAGATATGCCTCACCAGTAGACAATGAGTACCTGGGAAAAACATCTGGTCTCCCTTGGAAAGTACCATGGACCTGAGTGAAATGCAGCTTAGAATACTTTGGCTTTGTTACATCTGGCTGCTATACTATGAACATGCATCAGTATAAGAGGTGTTTGAAAAATCTAATAAACACTCTTACTATTATTTCTTTCTCTTATAACTCTCAACCTTTCTCTCTTTTTTGTTATAATACATTAGACAAAGTTAAAACTTTTAAGAATTAAAAGTTACAAGATGGCTTTCTGTACAAAATGGAGAAAATGTTAAATAATTGAAATAACTCTATTCTTTGAGCTTAAAACTTACGTGAACAAGACCAATTCTGTGTGTCATAAAAATTTCAGTAAATGAAAAGTATTTATTGTGTATTTTGATTTTCTAAGTCAGAGGTAGAACAACCATCCTGAAAGGGCCTCCAGGGACATGTTACCCCCTTTCACACTTTTGATTATTATCCCATGAGGTCCCCAACCACTCTTTTTCCCTTAGAATATACACTTATACCCAGTTATATTTGCAGAGCAGGCTGATTCCGAAGGTTTACAAATTTAAAAGCCTGTCAGGACTACACAGTCAGTTCAGGGTCAGTGTAGTTAAATTAGCAATGCCTTGTATCAAATAAAAGATACAAAAGCCTGGGGATGTAGCTCAGTAGTGCAACACTTGCCAAGCATGCACAGGGGCCAAGGCTCAGCCTCAAGTACTACAAGAACACAGGTTCTTGGCTCAGAGAAAAATAAAACCTCAGGCCAGTGTTAGGCAATTCAATTGAGTTAACTAGTATTTACAAAATAACTACTCTGCACACAGAGACCTCCCATAGGACCCAATGGGCAATTACATACTGTTTGCAATGATCCAATCATATTCCAGGCAGCTATAGAATAAGCCAAATCAGATTTCTGAACTTTATAAATAAAAGAACAAGCACAATATTTACTTTGGAGACTTAGTAGACTTAAAGAAACAGTGTATGGTACATAGTCAGTCATAAAAGGGAGACTTAAATTCTGACTTGATCATGTCCTAACCATGTGAAATTAAGCTTGATCTCTGAACTCTCTCACCCATAATCTGTGAGATCATTCATGCAGTAAGACTTACATACAGTTTGAAGAATGGAGGTGGAGTCACCAAAATATTCCAGTCAACTAAGAAGAAGAGGGAAAATTATGATGACAGATCTTTGGGGCAGAGAAACAAAACATTAAGAATACAGTTTCCAGCTGGTGCACATTCCACATATCTGTGATCTCTGCTACAAGGAAAGGTGAGGCGAGAAGATGGCAAGACCAGGGCTTGCCTAGACTATAGATCAAGTTTAAAGGTTGTCTGGGCAACTTAATGTAACTGTCTCAAAATAAAAAGTAAAAAGAAGGCAGATGTGTTAGACCACCCATCTAGCAGACACAAGGCCATGAGTTGGACCCTAATACTCCATAAATAATGATAACAATCATAATAATAATAATAATAATAATAATGTAGTTGCTATTAATTGACCTAATAAAGGCAGATAGAGTGGGCTGGGGAAAAAATTACTTCAGTTTAGCAATGCTGACTGTGGAAGCACTTATTTTAAATTTAATTCTAGATCACAAATTCTTGAATAGGAAGAAACACAAAATAGCATGGTATTTAGAAAAGGTGTCCTACCTGTGTAATTTGGAAGTAAATTGCATAAAGGTGATACATAAAGCAGTAAGGTCAAGGAAGCCTGAATCACCAGTGGAACACACACAGACCATGAAGGAAATATGACCCCTGGCCTGCAGTTTACTCACTGATCATCAGGGTCAATTGAGCTGCCTGGACTAACAGTGTATATGCCCCTTTCCTGCCTCAATACTCCATGTGTTTCCACCCCCACAGAAGCTTCCAACCAGACTAAAACAACTTTCTCTACTGGAGAACAGCATTTTCTATACTAGAATTTGTAGATTAAAGATATTTAAGATAGTATTAATTTCTTGATGTTATTATTCAAGAGTAGAGCAGCAACTCCATGGAGAATTGTTAATGCTTAGGGCAAACTTGAAAACTTATTTCAATAAAAGTATTTCTTGACTACTAGGCTAACTTCTGAGTTGACAGAACTTGGAGGTTTTTAAAAATCTAGTTGATTAGATAAATACTGCCAAATGCAAAAGCCCTTGAACAACAAAAAAGCACCTAAGCACCGTAACTTTGTTATACAAAACATAGCAACATGGATCCTTAATTATCTCAAACTCTATTCTGTTCTTGCTTTTTTTTAACCTTTGGGGTGGTTGAAATAGGGTTTCTCTGTGTAGCTTTAGAGCCTGTCCTGGCACTCACTAGTAGACCAGGCTGGCCTGGAACTCATAGAGATCCACCTGTCTGGGCCTCCTGAGTGCTGGGATTAAAGGCATGTGCCCCCATCACCTGTCTGTTCTTACTTTGATCTCAATAGAGAGAAGCAACTTTTAGTTAGTTGAATCTATAAAAGTGTCCCATCCTCTTGTTCCAGCACCACCTCCAAGATGGCAGTGCCTATAGGGGCTGGATGTGCTACAGTCCCATAGCATCACCTTGGAGTATACAGTGGCTTTTGCTTATTTTTCTAGTAAGGACTGTGACTTTGCAGGCAACTTGCATCATTTTCCTATTCTATCTACCACAGCCATTTCTCTGTTGCCTCCCAACTAAAAATCACACATTTTCAAGACTAGGAAATCACATGGAAAATCTGGCTCTGAAAGTCCCCTGTAACATGGGGAATGTGCAACTGATTCTCCTCCTTGAGGAACTGAGGAAATGCCTTTTTGACTATTTTTCTCCTTGGGAATGTAGACTATAAACACAGATGCTAATTTAACACAGGGTAAAATCTTCCAAACTGCGTTCCAATACTCATGTAAGATCTTCACTTTAGATATTGATAGTGTTTATTTGAGATATTAAGTTCGAAACCTTCCTCGTACATCTTTGGAATGACAGAAAGAGTGGATTAAAAAAAAAAAAAAACCTGTCATACATGAGGCAGCTGTTCTGTGAGCAGCCTATGACAGACACTGAGCTTCTACTTAAGACTGACAATCATTTGGAGAGTAAGGATGCACTCCTTGATGAATCTTACTCAGCCACCTGTTAAGCTTTATTATGGGCAGTCTGAGGATGCAGCTCTGATGGTAAAATACTTGCGCTGCATGCATGAGACCCTGACTTTAATTGTAGCAGTGCAGAGATTTACTATAGAGCACTCCACACTAAATCTTGCTAAGTGTGACCTAGAGCTTGGCCCTCCTACACCCTCTGCTGAGGCGAGTGTTTGGACAGCTCAGGTCCAACAACCCCCACCCTATCCTTGGAACTTCCTGGGTCAGCTCTGCAAGCAGCAGACCCAGCCCAATAACAGACCATTTGGAGCCTGTCCTCATCTCCATCTTGGCCCCTCTACACCTTTTGCTTGAGTTGTGGCCCCCCCTTTTCTCTCTGCCTGAGAACTACAAGAGAGGTCAGACCATCCAGAG